AAGCAAAAAAAAAAAAAAATTATCCGAGTTCTTATATAAAACATTGTATCTAGTTTTGAAATATACATATTAATAAGATGGATGATTACTGTTAAAACTCTATAAAAACAACCTGCTTGTCGTAGATCACAAACAACCAGAGACACATAATACAATTTGATAATAGAAAATAAACACAAAATTTAAAATAATCAATTTATTTAATAAAGTAATCATTGCAAGAAATAATGCCTAGAAGTTAACAATGAAAATAGTACAACTATTATTATTATTGTTTTCGATAATTTATTTGATTAATTTGCACACGAAGTTTTTATACCAACAAGTGCGGTTTTAGAAAGTAGTGAAAAATGTTTGTTTGATGTTAAGCACAAAGTTACAAAATAGGTTATCAATACTCTGCCTCCGTGGGTATCGAAACCCGAATTTGTTAGTTATAAGCCCTCATACTTACCACTGAGCCACCGGGAAACAAAAAACATGTAATGTATGATATATATGTTAGCTTCCATATTTATAGCTGCATCGCAGGTTTGTTGTCATATTACGAATAAGGTATCTGAGCAAATAAGCTCACACGGCTCTTCAGAGAGGGAATCAGACTACCTGCAGTGTAATTTAAAGCATCTCTTAGCTTGAACTATTTTTACTCGAAAACTACAATGAAAAATATACTTCTGAAGAAACACGAAGCCACAGGAATCTTTGACACATAAAGAGTGCTGACGACATACATACCAACAAAGAACTACTCTTAAAAACGTGTTTTTTTTTTCGCATATTTTCAGTCTGTAAAGTAACACTGAAGTAGAAGGGCAAGAAACGTTTTCATGTAAATAAAATAAAACAATTAATTTTAAACTATCATTTAGGTTAACTTATGCATAACCTCTTAGTAAAATTAATAGTAGTCATAATATCTAGAATCTAAATGTTGTAAACATGCGCGGGAAGTTTAGAAAATGTGAAAGACCTTGCTCTAATAGATTTCTGTAAGCAATTTTCTTCCATTTAACGAAGATGCTTTCGAAATTGCCTCGTGAAATCAGCAATTCTATATTTAAACTAGAAGAAAGCAGCGAGATTTAGATTTTACTGAAAATTAATTACGTTTTCACGAAGTGCCCAAAATAAATTAACCTTTACGATAAACTGATTTCTGACGAATTAATGTCGCTTTGTTTGAATTTCTATAAGGTAGTATATTCTGTTTGTACAGAATAGAAATGCCATGCCTTTGGAACCGACGTGGTAATGAACATAATCTTTTCTCACTTTTCATAAACGAATCGCTTTAAAGCTGATAGAAAAAACGAATATATCGAAAGAAATATTTGCATTAAATTCTTAAGTTAAAGAAACATTCAGTGTTATAAGGTCCTACTGCTTTAGTTAATGTATCATTAACAACATTTTACAACCTCTAAGATGTTAGGAAGTAGCAATCTGCTTGGAATGAGGAGACTAATTCATTATAAAAGCTCGAACGTTGCTTTCTTTTTTCGTGTCTGGTGCTGACCTCTATTGGCCTTTGTTTAGGAATCTTCTTCTTAGCTGAAGGAAAGCTTAAAATATATTTTAATCATTAAGACAATGTAAATAGTTAAGTGACGGGTCTATTATTAAAAAGCCTTACGCAAACAGCTGCAAACGAGTGATAACTTAAACAAAGCTGAAAATAAGACAACTTTAAAAGTTAGTTTAATTTTACATAAAGCATCTTTCTCATTTCTTATATATGTTTAATTGAGTCGGTAAAGGTCTCATCCAATAAAAGTAGGGAATTTCAGATACAATAGTGCTCCATAAGAACGTGATAGTTTTGACAACACAATGGTGACAAGTTATTTTCGCCTAGAAAAAAGTTGTTATTATTGTTTTAAAGCAAGAAGCAATTTATTTTTAGAATCTCATTTAAATGTTTATCTTTTCATTTTGAAATATTACTCAGAATCAGAATTTAGTTCCTATAATGTTTGATAGTTTGTTTGTTTGCTTGTTTTTGAATTTCGCGCAAAGCTACACGAGG